TTGATTGGCTATTATTCCTGGCTTTTGATTGGCTTCAAATTTTGAATATTCCTGACTCTTGATTGGCTAAAAAATTATTATTTTGAATATTTCTGGCTCTTGATTGGAATCCAAAGTCAATTTTTGAATTTTCCCAGCTCCCGATTGAATTTAAAATTCAAACTGTGTTTATTCCTGGCTCTTGATTGGCTTAGAAATTCAAACTTTGAACATTCCCGGCTCTTGATTGGCTTACAAAGTTAATTTTTGAATTTTCTCGGCTCTTGATTGGCTCAGAAATTCAAATTTTAAATATTCCCAGTTCATGATTGGCTTCCAAAATCAATTTTTGAAATTTCCCGGCTCTTGATTGGGTTCAAATTTCAACTTTTGATTATTCTTGGCTCTTGATCTTAAAATTTGAATTTCTTAGCCAATCAAGAGCCGAGAATATTCAAAATTTGAAGTCAATCAAAAGCTGGGAATAATCAAAAATTCAATTTCTAAACAAATCATGAGCCGGAAATACATATTCAAAATTTGAATTTCAGAACCAATCAAGAACCAGGAATATTCCAAATTTGAATCTTGAACCAAATCAAGAGTCGGGAAAATTCGAAAATTGATTTTGGAAGCCAATCAAGAGCCGGGAATAATCAAAATTCCTCGCAAAATTCAAATTCCCAAACCAATCAAAAGCCGGAAAAATGCAAAATTCCAATTCCAAACCCGAATATTCCTGGCTCTTGATTGGCTTAAAAATTCAAATTTTGAATATTTCTGGCTCTTGATTGGAATCTAAAGTCAATTTTTGAATTTTCCCAGCTCCTGATTGAATTTAAAATTCAAACTGTGATTATTCCTGGCTCTTGATTTGCTTAGAAATTCAAACTTTGAATATTCTCGGCTCTTGATTGGCTTCCAAAGTTAATTTTTGAATTTTCTCGGCTCTTGGTTGGCTTCATATTTTGGATATTCTCGATTCTTGATTGGCTCAGAAATTCAATATTCCCAGTTCTTGATTGGCTTCCAAAGTCAATTTTTTTAATTTTTCCGGCTCTTCATTGGGTTCAAATTTCAAATTTTGATTAATCTGGGCTCTTGATCGGGTTTAAAATTTGAATTTCTTAGCCAATTGAGAGCCGGGAATATTCAAAATTTGAATTTCTAATCCAATCAAGAGTCGGGAATATTCAAAATTTGAAGTCAATCAAAAGCCAGGAATAATCAAAAATTCAATTTCTAAACAAATCATGAGCCGGGAATATTCAAATGTTGAATTTCAGAACCAATCAAGAGTCAGGAATATTCAAAATTTGAATCTTGAACCAAATCAAGAGTCGGGAAAATTGATTTTGGAAGCGAATCAAGAACCGGGAATATTTAAAATTTGAATTTCTAAGCCAATCGAGAGCCGGGAATGTTCAAAATTTGAAGCCAATCAAGAGCCGGGAATAATCAAAAATTCAATTTCTAAACCATTCATGAGCCGGGAATGTTTAAAATTTAAATTTTAAACCCAATTAAGAGCAAGGAAAATTTAAAAACTGACTTTGGAAGCCAATCAAGAGCCGGGAATATTTAACATTTGAATTTCTAAAAATTGAATTCCTAAACCAATCAAAAGCCGGTAAAATTTAGAAAAAAGCCAATTAAAAGCCAGGAACTCAGCCGGGAATAATCAAAATTCATATTCCTAAACCAATCAAAAGCCGGGAAAATGCAAAATTTGAATTCCAAACCCGACCGGAAACTAGTTTTTTTTACCAAATGTTGCTACAAACGAATTCAATATATTTTCATATAGCAAGCGTTGCTACATGTTGCTAAATAAAATCTCACCCTAAAAACCCACTAAAAAACTACCCCCAAAACGACTTGTTGCTACAATTTCGCTCGTATTGCTGCACTTTTACTCGTGTTGCTACACTTTTTTTTAGAACTTTGCTACATAAGTTCATCGAAATCTTGCTCTAAACCTACTAAAAACGACTCCCAACGATTGTGTTGCTACACTTTTTTTTTGTGTTGCTACATAAGAAATTCAATAAAATCTTGCCCTGAACAAAAACTATTCCACAAATGACTTGTTGCTACACAAAAACGAGAATTGCTACACCTTTACTCAAGACGTGTAGGCTACATTTTTTCCTTAGTGTTGCTTCATATTTTGAGCTTGTGTTGTTACACAAATGAAGTGTTGCTACACTGGTTTTCCGAGTTGCTGCAAGAATAATTAATTTGAATCTTGCCCCAAACCTACTAACGACTTGTTGCTACAACAAATCCAGTGTTGTTACAAAAATATTGCTACACCCGTAACTCCTAAACTACTCGTCCGATTTCGACGATTACGGTCCATTGTCAAATAGGCTTAACAAGATCTTTCAATAGTGTCAAATGATTGAGATACGTTTCCGGATACGGATACGAGGCTAGGCCCGTAACCATACGGACAAAGCAACGCAACGAAACCACCGTATCTATTCTGCGCACTACTCGAAAACGCCCACCGCTTTCTAGTAGCTCGGCACTTCTAATGTAAATTTACATTAAAAGTGCCGAGCTACTTAAAAGCGGTAAGCGTTTTTGAGAATGAGAATACTGTCTCTGGTAGAAACCGCGGGGCATTTTTCAACCCAGTCCCTGAGTGGGGTAATTTGGGCGCACTCTGGGCACGTCAACTGTCGATTTCTGAACGATCCCAGCGTAACGCTCCGATTAAGCACCTATTAATTTATGAACGGCTTAGACTCTAAACTTTAGAGTTACTCTGTTCACATTCAGAGTGCTATTTTTAAACGCAACCCGGTTCACACTTGACATAACTTCTAAAGTTGGTAACAATGGATACATTCAGGCGATGCCAACGGCTAAGTTCAGCCACTCAGCACGGACTTTATTCTCGAAACTGAGGAACAACGATTGCTCTGTCATGGTCAGTGTTATGGAAAAATAAATACGGACGACGAAGACAGAACCTCTGATCTTATGAGAACGCTGCTCCCGTTTCGAGAATAATGTCCCAGCTGAGTGGCTGAACTTAGCCGCTGGCACCGCCTGAATGTACCCAATGAAAACGGTATAAGCCTAAAGTTTGTTTTTTTTTTAAAGATAATTCCCCAAGTCAGAAATTTAGTAACTATGTTGGCAACACAACCCTTTTCTGCATAAAAAATTTGAAAGCTTGACAATTTTACATTGTATTGCCAACATAATGTCATTTTGACTTTTATCTTAAAAAAAAAACACACTTTATGCTATGTGGCTTTGTCAAAAACTAATCACAACTATGTTGAACCCAACCAGTGTTGCCAACTCAGTAGAATTTCCACTAGTTCTAGTGGATTTGAAAGTCGTCTAGTTATTCAGCAAATTCCACTATAGTGGTAATTTTAATGGGAATGGGATCCACGGTTTCTAGTGAATTTTTAGCTCAATGATTTTTAGTGATACTTCGCTTCCATTGGTTTTCGATTTTTCTTTTTGAAATTTCGGAATAACCTATTTGCATAGGATTCCTGTTAATTTACAGAAGGCAGCATATTTACAAGGATGATACACACCTACAGGATTGCTTATCGGCCTCGTTTTTGGTAATCGCTTCCATATTGCTGTGTCCCCATTTCCGACGTCATAACCTTAAGCCGTTAGCTGTTTAAACAGCCTATGTCAAGGCGAGAAATAACATGCTGCCTACGTCACAACTGGTGATTTGCCGAATTGTTATGAGGATAGGCCATCCTATAGTAGTAGTGTGTCAGCCTTGGTAGTGTGTATCATCCTTGACATATTTTTTTGTGGGCTTTTCATATAGTAGGTATGTCAATTATTGTCAATGATGCTTTCATGTCAACTGTCCACATTGTTACTGCCACTTTCAAACTTCAAGTCAAGCAAACCCGGCTTTCATGCTTTTATAAACATGCTGCGCAGTAACAAAAACCGAATTTTCGCGATGAATGTAGTTCATCCAAAGACGAGCCATAGTTCGTCAGTGACGTCATGAGTTTGAACGCTGGCTAGAAGCTGCATCCATGCTTCCGTCGAACTACGTTCAATATTACGTCATGAGTTTCTCGCAAAAGCATTTGTGTTCATGAAATCATGGAAGTAGTTTGTCGCGAAAATTCGGTTATAATCTAAGAAACAAAGAAAAGAAACTAACATAACTCAACATGGCAGATGATACCTAGATGGCGTTGATTATCCATATTTTTTAGAATTATTAAACAATAGGAAAGATATTAGGAGTGCTAAAAATATCAAAAAAGCGTGGGAAAAATTTAGTAGATTTTCCACTAGTCCAAAAAAATTTCGCCTGCGGCTTCATTTTTTTCCTCCTAGTGGGTTTTAGTGCATTTAAAGGTCTGTTCCCACAGGAGTCTCTGACAGTTTGCAAACTGTGAGTCAGCATCGCCCATACATGTTTTCAATGCTGTCGTTACAAGATAAATCTGTAACTCAGCTGAGCGATCGTTTCTGACAGGTTGCAAACTGTCAGAGACTCCCGTGGGAACAGACCTTAAAACTCTTTTCTAGTATACAGTCTTGGTTCAGAGTTGGCAACACTGAACCCAACCTATCAAATGTCCTCCATGCATGTGCACTGGTCCAGGTAGGGCGTTTCAACTAATGACGTTTCAATCAATTAGACTATCTAAGACGCTGTCAAACTTAAATTAAAATGACCGCCAAGAGCCACACAAACCTTTTATTCGCTTATCAAAGTGACGTGTTTGGATAAGCTGAAGCTGACTATTCAAGGTTCTGTCAAACTTAAATTAAAATGTCCTCCAAGAGGCACACAAACCTTTTGTTTGCTTCTCAAAGTCACGTGTTTTGGATAGGCTAATAGGAAGGCTAGTGTTTGTTTACAATTTACTTTATTACAATTTAGTTTATTTAATGTCATTTACTGCCGCTTGAATTTGGAAATGGTGTAGTTTGTTGATAAGGGTTTTCCTTCTTCAATTCCATTAATACCAAATTGATTCAATAGTCTCTAGAGTTTGACTTACCTATAGCAAACTTCCGTAGGATCCACCCACACGGTAAGCTCAGTCGGCAGTCTGAGGTCCTTGTAGCGGAGCCCGCTCTTACTAGCGGCCGTCTCCAGGGTGAGATCGACTGGAGTAATGCCGTTCACACGGATACAGCGGTAACCCTGGCCCTTGCTGGGCAAGTCTGGGAACCAATGCTTCTCAAACCTAGAAAAAATAAAACAAATTTAAGTTTGATATAATTTGATAAAAATGTAATTCATCTTATCATGAAAAAATAATATTGTCATTATTCCATTTTAATGTTTAATTGAAAATGTTATGACTACTATATCAAAATATTTTATGGAAAAACCTCCCATTAAATTCTATTTTCAAAACTGCGCATTACTTTTATTCCCTCTGTGACGTAGCCAAAAACATTTAATTTTGCATTAATTTAAATCGTAAATAATGTATTGTTTTTCAAATCCATAATTGAATTACAGCCTATCATCTATCTGAATGGACTCTTGATTATTATTACCATAAACCGTTGTTTTCGTTAAATATTTATAGATACGATTTTGAGATTATTCTGTTGACATCGCATCTTTTTTTTTTTTGAGTGAATTCATGCAGCCAAAAATAATAAAAATGTTTGCCACATGGCAAAGGAATATATTTTCGTTACAAAAAAATATTGAAAGCCTACGCTGTTACGCCTATCCATATACGTTTTAAACAAACATCAGGTAAGTCAACGACCATTTGAGTGTATTCTCTCTTTCAGTTTTCAAATCGCTTCGTCAACAATTTTGTTGTTATTTAAGCTGCACAGCATATTAGAAAGTAATATGATATTTAGAACTTAATCGATAAAAATGTACCCGTTTCCCTTTACGTACATATGTCAATCCAATTGTTGCTCAAAACAACTAACTGATATTTTAATTTTGGTCAGGGAGTGGTACCTGCGTAGGCGCAGCAATCTTTTTATGACTAAATTCGTTCTATTGTGATTCATTGATTGAGTAATAACGCAAATGAACTTTTCATTGGACAATAATTTTATGGTTTTGCTTGGCAATAATTAAACATGATCAATAATTCAAAATGGGGAAAACTCATTCGCCTGCGGAGCGTCCTTGGCCTTGCTTGGCTAAATACGAAAACAAACTATTTTTTTTTTTTTCTAATTATACAAAGTTTAATTTGTTGGAACTAGGAACTGCCTACGATGGAAACTTTTATCATTCTGTTGCGTTTCAATTTTATTACATTCAAAAACTTCTTAGGTAATAATAGTTATGTATTGCAATAATGCTTTTGCTGATCAAATTTCTAGCATTTCATTACATTATTTACCAGAACCTTGAGTAATATCAGGTCTGTTCGCACAGAAATCACAAACCAGATTTTATTGGTTGAAACTAGTTTTCTGACTGTTTTCAACCAATGAAATTCGCTCTGACTGGTTTATGATTGCTGTGCGAACAGACCTATTATCATTTTCAGAATCTATTCTTTCCGCTTTCATCAGTATTTATACTTGGCAATATGGCTTTCGTATGAAGAAAAATTTATCATAAATTTGCTTCGCTTCTTCTTGTAGACTGCAAAGATGCAAGAATAGACCTGATTATATAGGAATCTTCTTTTTCTTTTTTTAGCAGCTTTTCACTTTCTACTGTTGGACATGTGACATAAGCTTCTCCAAATTTCTGATACTATATAGTTCGGGCTTGTTGTCTCGTTGATGTCGTCCATCTATCATTTGGGAAGTCGCCCTGTGTTCCTTTTTTGCAAGCATTGGTTGGACTTTGCAATAATCAAGCTATACAAAATGGCATTCTTTCACAGCCTTTGTTGAAGATATAAATTCATGTAAAAGGCCTTGATTCATTCAAAACTTACTTTCCAAAAACAAAATGGAGCAAATAATTAATAAATTCTGCTCCAGTCCTGAGAAGCTCTTCTTGAATAGCATCTTTTCTCAATTTTTTTGGTGTCTCGCAGTCAGGAACTGCTTTGAGAAGTTGAAAGCATTAATTTTCAGTCTTCAGAGTTTCAAGAGGCAAAAATAATCGAAAATTGTCCCCTTCCAAAGTCTTTGTAAAATAAATTCCTATGAAACTCTTTCACGTCCCTGAATTGAAATTTCTAGAGTCAATATGAAGCAATAAATATTTATTCATTTTTTATTCTAATTAAGCCACCCTAAACATCTTTTAAAGTAGAAAACGGACATTACGGATTTATTCGAATGCCCTTTGCTAGATTTGCTCTTCATTTTTTATGGATCTATTTGTGCTGAATTTTAATTTTTCATCCAAATTTTAATTATTATCGGCTCTTGAGGTGTTGGGTATTGTTATAATAGGCCCTCAAGAGCCGATAATAGGTCAAAATTTGATTATTACTGGCTCTTGATATGTTAGAAATGTTTTCTAGTGTTCTAAATTTCACTTTTGGGGGCAAATTTTAACTATTATTGGCTCTTGAGTCCTTGGATATTTTTTCTAGACGCCCTCAAGAGCCGGTAATAGTTCAAAATTTGATTATTACTGAAAAAGACCAAATGCTGCAATATCGAAGAGCAGGGCATGGACTTGTTATTTGGTGGATCTCAGAATTGACCCAAATCTGAGAAACTGACACTGGAAACATATTTTCTGAGCTATTACCAGCAGGACAATGCTGGGAAATATTTTCTGCTCAAATTATGGGGAAATGAGCTCAATCGAGAGGTTCTGAAATTGAGATTATTGCCAGATTACCTTTTTTATATGGAAAATCTTGAAAAAAAATCATAACAAACCCTTTTAATGGCGACAAGGGCTTTTAGGGCTTCCCCTCTTGACAACCCCAGGAAATGCTCGCCTAATGTTTCATATAATATGTATGTTCGAGGGGGTTACAACTGGACCATAATTTGTACGTGTATTGCACATTACATGGTTTTTTGAAGTAATTCCGGTAATTCCAGTGTGTAATGTTAAACATTGTTGTCTTTACATATTGTAGCATTTTGGTAGTTTTCCAATAGTTAGAATTTTACGAGGGGCGGCTTACTCCCGAAATTGCTGTATGTACAGTTGTGATAAAAAAAAAGTAGTACAAGCAAAATCTCCAAAATCTCCTGGTCTATTATACATTAGTTGAATACATAACCAAAAATGACATATTTTTGGCGTTTTTCGACACGTTTTTAACCTAGAAAGCTTCAGATGACATTACTTTGGCATTTTTTAACCCGTTTTTAACCTAGAATATGTCATTGCCTGTCAAAATTTTGTATTTTACACCGGGAGTTCAAATTGGGGTTAATAATTTTTGTATTACTTTTTTTTGATCGCAACTGTACATACATACATTTTCGTCCGAAATCGCGAACATCGAAATCCTATCCAAAAACCCACAATCCCAACCGAAATCCTTTTCAAAATCCCGAAATCTCAACCGAAATCCTTCTGAAATCTCGAAATCCGAATAAATTTATCGAAATTCTCGAAATCGTTAATGGTACGGTGTTGCAAGTCAAATATCCGAAATCTTTCGAAATCCCTTAAAAATTGTCGAAATATTATGCGATTTTCGAAATCGATATACAAATTGTGGTGAGCGAGCCGCCCCTCGATAAAAATCTGAGCCAAAAAAGACTGAAGTTTTGCAGCTGCAAAATTATTGAAGTTGCATTGAAATCATTCGCAGGAAATTTGTAGATAATTTAGTTGGCTTCAATTGCAGCCTAATAACATCAAGATCGGATCGAAATTAACAAAGCTGTGAGACAAAATGTGTGTTGGTGTCATTTTGGATAAAAATCTAAGCCAAAAAAGATTTTGAAGCTTTGCAGCTACAAAACTATTGAAGTTGCATTGAAATCATTCATAGGAGATTTGTAGAAAATTTAATTGGCTTTAATTGAAGCCTAATTACGTTAAGATCGGATTGAAATTAACAAAGTTGTGAGTCAAAATATGTTTTTCATTTTCATCCGAAATTCCTTGAAATTCTTTCGAAATCCTTTGGAACTTCCGAAATTTATTCGAAATCGCGAACAGCGAAATCCTATCCGAAATCCTTTTGAAATCCCGAAATCCCAACTGGAATCCTTCTGAAATCCCGGAATCCCAACCGAAATGCTTCTGAAATCCCAATAAATTTATCGAAATCCTCGACATCTTTAGTGGTACGGCGTTCAAAGTCGAATATCCGAAATCTTTCGAAATTCCTTGAAAATTGTCGAAATATTATGCAGTTTCCGAGATCGATGTACAAATTGTGGTGAGTGAGCCGCCCACGCCACTCGGAATTTTATTAGTTTAATAACCATTATAAGTTAATATTTTATCTCTGGATTTATCCTAGGTCAACAGTTGGAATGTTTCTGATCCAATGATTTTTATTGATTCATAAAAAATGTAGGCCTTCTCCTACAGATTGTAGTACCTACGTCATTGTCGTAAGGCCATATGACATTTTCTAAAACATTTTTCAAAAATTGAATTACGTAGTCATTATTGGACATTTTAATTCATTTATTGTATAGCAAAGTTGTAGGGTTAATAAGAATCTATAAAATATAAATAATTTTACATACATAGGGTGAACCAGAAAAAAGTTGTAGTAGAATATTTAGGTATTTGCTTCAAATGGGACACCCTGTACACACCTGGCAAGTAAACATCTTGCAAGCGAATTTTAATGCGATAAAATGAAATGTCTAGAGAAAGTCTAAGGTTGAATAGAGAACAAAAACGATTTCCCCTGTTCCATCTCTAGCATTCCTAGCGCTTTTTGCTGGAGGTGGAACAGGGGAAATCATTTTAGTTCTCTATTTAACCTTAGACTTTTTCTAAACATTTCATTCTATCGCATTAATATTGGCATGTAATATGTTTACTTGCCAGGCGTGTATATTGGCTGATATGAATAAAACCGGTGCAATGCTTTTACTAAAGTTTCTTGAGATAAACATATTCAGCTGGAGGTAGAGTAAAAGCATTTTTACTATACTTTATTCATATGACTAGCTTATGATATTTTTGCATTGCACGCAAAAAAATTCTATCTCAACATTTCAATAGCTATCTGATAATGGTGGTACCGATGGTGGTCTCGATGATGGTAATATGGATACCAAATTTGGTACCACCAATATAACAACCTTTGAGTATAGCTCTCAAGTATAGTTAAGCTAAAACAGGAAAGTGAAACTCGTT